ACATGGCCCGGCTGGACAAGCTGCTGGAGGAGCAGGGAGGGGATGGGGGCACTGGGAATAACCCTGGAGAGGTGAGAGATCCCACATGGAGCAGGGAATAGCCCTGGAGAGGTGGGAGAGCCTTGGGATGTGTCCCCATGGAGCAGGGAACAGCCCTGGAGAGGTGGGAGAGCCTTGGGATGTGTCCTCATGGATCAGGGAACAGCCCTGGCTCAGTGAGGACATGGCCCAACTGGACAAGCTGCTGGAAGAGCAGGGAGGGGATGGGGGCACTGGGAATAACCCTGGGGAGGTGAGAGATCCCACATGGAGCAGGGAATAACCCTGGAGAGGTGGGAGATTCCCTATGGAGCAGGGACAGGGATAGGGAGGACATGGCCCGGCTCAACAAGCTGCTGGAGGAGCAGGGAGGGGATGGTGGGACTGGGAATAACCCTGGAAAGGTGAGAAACTTGGGATGTGTTCCCATGGCAAAAAAATTCCCATTTATGGAGGCAGAATCCCATTTATTGGGGTAGGTAAGGGTAGGGAATATCCCTGAGCGAGGACATGGCCCGGTTGGACAAGCTGCTGGAGGAGCAGGGAGGGGATGGGGGCACTGGGAATAACCCTGGAGAGGTGAGAGATCCCACATGGAGCAGGGAACAGCCCTGGAGAGGTGGGAGAGCCTTGGGATGTGTCCCCATGGATCAGGGAACAGCCCAGGCTCAGCGAGGACATGGCCCGGCTGGACAAGCTGCTGGAGGAGCAGGGAGGGGATGGGAGCACTGGGAATAACCCTGGAGAGGTGAGAGATCCCCCATGGAGCAGGGACAGGGATAGGGAACAGCCCTGGAGAGGTGAGAGATCCCACATGGAGCAGGGATAGGGATAAGGAACAGCCCTGGAGAGGTGAGAAACCTGGGATGTGTCCCCATGGCAAAAAAAATTCCCATTTATGGAGGCAGAATCCCATTTATTGGGGGGCAGATAAAAAATTCCCATTTATTGGGGGTAAATTAAAAATTCCCGTTTATGGAGGCAGATTAAAAATTCCCATTTATTGGGGGCAGATAAAAGATTCCCATTTATGGAGGCAGCATCCCATTTATCGGATGGGGACAAAATTCCCATATATGGGGAAAAAAGTTCCATTTATGGGGACAAAAAATTGCATTTATGGGGACAAAAAATTCCCATATCTGGGGAAAAAAATCCTGTATGTGGGGAAAAAAAAATTGCATTTATGGGGAAAAAATTCCCACATGTGGGGGAAAAAAATTGCATTTATGGGGAATAAAAATTCCATTTATGGGGAAAAAAATTTCCAT